CAGGACCCCCAGCTGCAAGTCTGCTGGAGTTTGTTGGAGGCCCACTCCTGACCCTGTTTGCCTGGGTATCACCAGCAGAGGCTGCAGAACAGCAAATATTGCAGAACAGCAAATGTTGCTGCCTGATCCTTCCTGTGGAAGCTTCATCTAAGAGGGGCACCTGGCCGTATGAGGTGTCAGTCGGCCCCTACTGGGAGGTGCCTCCTAGTTAGGCTAATCAGGGGTCAGGGACCCACTTGAGGAGGCAGTCTGTCCGTTCTCATATCTCAAACTCCATGCTGGGAGAACCACTACTCTCTTCAAAGCTGTCAGACAGGGATGTTTAAGTCTGCAGAAGTTTCTGCTGCCTTTTGTTCAGCTATCCCTGCCCCCAGAGGTGGAGTCTACAGAGGCAGGCAGGCCTCCTTGAGCTGCAGTGGGCTCCACCCAGTTTGAGCTTCCTGGCCACTTTGTTTACCTCAAGCCTCAGCAATGGTGCGTACCCCTCCCCCAGCCTCACTGCTGCCTTGCAGTTGGATCTCAGACTGCTGTGCTAGCAGTGAGCAAGGCTCCATGTGTGTGGGACCCTCCGAGCTAGGCGTGGGATATAATCTCCTGGTGTGCTGTTTGCTAAGACCATTGGAAAAGTGCAGTATTAGGGTGGGAGTGTCCCAATTTTCCAGGTACCGTCTGTCACAGCTTCCCTTGGCTAGAAAATGGAATTCCCCAACCCCTTGTGCTTTTTGGGTGAGGTGATGCCCTGCCTTGCTTTGGCTCACGCCTGTGGGCTGCACCCACTGTACAACAAGCCCCAGTGAGATGAACCTGATACCTCAGTTGGAAATGCAGAAATCACCAGTCTTTTGCATTGCTCACACTAGGAGCTGTAGACTGGAGCTGTTTCTATTTGGCCATTTTGGAACTTCTTTTTTTTTTTTTTTTTTTTGAGATAGAGTCTCGCTCTGTCACCAGGCTGGAGTGCAGTGGCACATCTTGGCTCACTGCTACCTCCACCTCCCAAGTTCAAGCAATTCTCCTGCCTCAGCCTCCCAAGTAGCTGGGACTACAGGTGCGCACCACCATACCCAGCTAATTTTTGTATTTTTTGTAGAGAGGGGGTTTCACCATGTTGGACAGGATGGTCTCGATCTCTTGACCTTGTTATCCACCTACCAGATCCTCCCAAAGTGCTGGGATTACAGGTGTGAGCCACCGCACCCAGCCCAGCTTCTAGTTTTATTCCCTCTGACCTATTCCTTCCCCTACAGGTGACTATGAACCTTCTATTTTTTAAATATAAGAAATAAATTTGTAATTCTCTTCATGTCTTAGATAAAATCACATATCTCTCTTCACTTCTGAGATAAATGATAGCATACTATAAAAATATGGAATACTTGATGGATTTATGTGTTGTCCTTGCATAGGAGCCATGCTAATCTTCTCTATATCATTAAAATGTTGCTATATGTGCTGCTGAAACAAGCACTTAGGAGATCAAGATTTTACATGGGTAAAAATTCTGGAGCTAGACATGGTCTAGAGAGAGATGGCTTTAGTAGGTGCTACCATAAAGAATCTTATATAGTCAGGAGACACCATAAAGATGCCAAGTGTCCAAAGAGAGAGTAAGTGGCCTGGGAATGGACCAAAAATATCAAAAGAAGAAGTGAAAAGATGACCACAAACAAACATTCCTACCTGACAACTCAATGTAGGGCCTAGTTCTTCCTCAACCTATGTTCCATTCCTGCCAATATTTATTATATCATGCAATGGATACATAAAGGGCTTTAATGTTTTGGGTTTTTTGATGAATTCTTTAGGCACATGAGAGTATAAACACAGAATCCTTCATAGACATACAAAAATGTCCAAGTATTTTAAACTCATACCACCAATTTTAAAATATTCCTTGGGTTCTTTGTTTGAATTTTGCAATATTCAAAAGAAATACTGGAGGCAATCCTAATTTTTCTCAAGAGACACACATCTTAGCTGAAAGAGAAGAATAATTATGGTGCTGGGAAAACTGGATATCCATATGAAGAAGACTGAAATTGATCCCTATCTCTTGCCTTACATAAAAATCAAATCAAAATGGATTAAAGATGACTTAAATCTAAGACGTCAAACTATGAAACTACTGCAAGAAAATATTGAGAAAACTCTCCAGGGCATTGGTCTGGGCAAAAATTTCTTGAGTAATACCCCACAAGCACAGGCAACCAAAGCAAAGATGGACAAATGGAATCACATCAAGTTAAAAAGCTTCTGCACAGCAAAGGAAACGATCAAAGTGAAGAGACAACCCACAGAATGGGAGAAAATATGTGCAAACTACCCATCTGACAAGAGATTAATGACCAGAATATATAAGGAAGTCAAACAACTTTACAGGAAAAAATATATAATAATCTGATTTTAAAATGGACCAAAGATTTGAAGATATCAAAAGAAGATATACAAATGACAAACAGGTATATGAAAAGGTGCTAAACATCACTGGTCATCAGAGAAATGCAAATCAAAACTACAATGAGATATCATCTTACCCCAGTTAAAATGGCTTTTATCCAAAAAACAGGCCATAAAAAATGCTCGCAAGGATGTGAAGGAAAGGGAACCTTCGTACACTGTTGGTAGGAATGTAAATTAGTACAACCACTATGGAGAACAGTTTAGAGGTTCCTCAAAAAACTAAAAATAGAGCCCCCATATGATCCAGCAAACTACTGGATATATACCCACGAGAAAGGAAATCAGTATGTCAAAGATATATATACACTCCCATGTTTACTGCAGCACTGTTCACACAACAGCCAAAATTTGGAAGCGGCCTCTAAGTGTCCATCAGCAGATGAATGGATGAAGAAAATGTGGTAATTATACACAATGAAGTACTATTCAGCCATAACAAAAAAATCAGATTCTGACATTTGCAACAACATGGATGGAACTGGAGGACATTATGTCAAATGAAATAAGCCAGGAACAAAGGGATAAACATCGCTTGTTCTCACTTACCTGTGGAATAAAAAAATTAAGACAATTGCACTCATGGAGATAGAAAATGAAAGGATGGTTACCAGAGGACAGGAAGGGTAGTGGAGGGTGGGGGTAGGAGAAAAGGGGGGATGGTTAATGGGTACAAAAAGTAAAAAATAAAAAGAATGAGGCCGGACGCGGTGGCTCAAGCCTGTAATCCCAGCACTTTGGGAGGCCGAGACGGGCGGATCATGAGGTCAAGAGATCGAGACCATCCTGGCTAACCCGGTGAAACCCCATCTCTACTAAAAAATACAAAAAACTAGCCGGGCGAGGTGGCGGGCGCCTGTAGTCCCAGCTACTCAGGAGGCTGAGGCAGGAGAATGGCGTAAACCTGGGAGGCGGAGCTTGCAGTGAGCTGAGATCCGGCCGCTGCACTCCAGCCTGGACGACAGAGCTAGACTCCATCTCAAAAAAATAAATAAATAAATAAATAAATAAAATAAATAAAAATAAAAATAAAAAGAATGAATAAGACCTAGTATTTAATAGCACAACATGGTGACTATAGTCAATAATAATTTAATCGTACATTTTAAAATAGGTAAATGGGCTGGGCACAGTGGCTCACGCCTGTAATCCCAGCACTTTGGGAGGCTGAAGTGGGCTCACCTGAGATCAGGAGATCAAGACCATCTTGGCTAACATGATGAAAGCCCATCTCTACTAAAAATACAAAAAATTAGCCAGGCATGGTGGCACGTGCCTATAGTCCCACCTACTCAGGAGGCTGAGGCAGGAGAATTGCTTGCACCCTGGAGGTGGAAAGTGCAGTGAGCCGAGATTGTGCCACTGCACTCCAGCCTGGTGACAGAGCGAGACTCTGTCTCAAAAAAATAAAAAATAAAAAAAATAAAACAAAATAAAATAAAATAGGTAAACAGGTGTAATAGCATTGTTTGTAACACAAAGGATAAATGCTTGAGGGGATGGGTAGCCAATACCCTATGTGTGATTATTACACATTGCATGCCTGTCCCAAAATATCTCATGTACCCCATAAATATATACACCTACTGTGTATCCACATAAATTACAAATAAAAAAGGATAATAAAATTATTGCCAATCATTTCATACATACTATTTATTATCAAGAAAACATTTATTGAGTGACTACTATGTTTAACACTCTGTTAGGTGCTATGAGAGACATAGCATGCATTAGACATAATGCCTGCCGTTGAGAATCTTACTATCTGTGCTAGTTATTAACTTATGAGTTCTTAAGTTATTGACTTATAACTTATGACTTCTCAGCTACAAATCCATCTTTTTTTCCCTTGCTTTGTTATTCTGGAGCTGGACCCTGTAAGCTGGACCCTGCCAAATTTCTGCTTTGGCAATGGTAAAATGATAGGTTCTGCCAATAGAAGATGATGGAGAGACACTGGGAGGCCAGAGCAGAGGAAAGGACTTGACATTCTTCTTCCGGTAGACTTTTTTGTGTGGAGCCAGTGGATTGGTTTGCAGGCAGGGCCTAGTAGTATTCACCTCTACAGTCCTCACAATTCATTTACGGCCCATGCTTCCAGCAAGTTTCTTCAGCACAGGTGGACTACACATTCTTGTGGCAGTCACACATTCTCCTCTAAATTTCTCAGGTTCCTTCTTCTTGTACGTTCTTCTTCAGCCAAGGTTAGTAGCCATGCCTACAGGAGTACCACTGGACCCCTTAGAGTCCACTCTGCTCCTTTTAGACATCTTTCACTGGTTAATGGTTTTTTTTATGTTAAATTTTCCCTGTTCAAATCACAGGTATGTTTTTGATCTATTGATTGGTCCCTAGCAGACATACCATACCATCAAATAAGGAAGAAAAGGCAGATGTAAATTAATGTAAATTTGGGGGGAGAAGGGGCACTTCAGCTGTAATCACAGCCCAAAGGCCAAAGATCTTCAGAGATGTAAGTCTACAAAATTATCTATTAGTTTGGGTTGTGTTTAGCTGCATATAACAGAAACTGGCTTCAGTGACTTAGCCAAATAGAGATTTATTTTTTTCATGTGACATGAACTCCATAAATAGGCAATTAAGGGCTGCTTACTCCAAAAAAAAGTGAAAAATTCCGGTTCCTACTTTCCAGATTCTCCATCCTCAACGTGTGACTTTTGTTCTTGTAGTTGTAATATTGCTGCCTCCCATCCAGACATTAGATCTGTATTCCAGAAAGAAAAAAAAAAAAAAAAGGTAATGGAAAAGAAAGAATGATCCCTTTGAATCTATCCCTTTTCTGCACATTCTTAGGGGCATCACCAAGTAACTTCAACTCACATGTCATTGACCATTCCTAATCATAAGGGAATCTGAGAAGCTCAGCATTTTTTAAACTGGGGACAGATCTCTGTAAGTAAGAAAAAAAGGAGAGAATGGATGTTGGATAGGCAACTAGCTGTGTCTGCCACAAATTGAAAAATTAGAAAATTACTTACATTTGAGATGGGCAAGAATTAGCAGAGGGATTTTATTTCATTTCCATATACTTGTTCATTTTCTTTTCATGTAAGTAGTCTTTTTATATTAATTATACACTATGACATACAATTGTTTTTTCCTCAATAACTAGCATAGCTTACCAGAAAAGAAGGACGGAATAACATTTATTTTATTAGGACATTGTTTTCATGTAACTCGTTTATAAAGTTTAGCCTAGACCTAAGGAGGACATGGAGACATACATTTACTCTTAGTTTCTTACTAAATTATTTGTGGCCCGTTTAGTAAATATTCTAGTCCAGTATACTAGATGTCATTAAAGTGGTTAAATAATTTGTAGAATAGTAAAAAATGAAGTTTAAGGACAAAATTTTCTACACTAGAAATTGATTAGCGGAGTAGGTAGTTAGTTGGTAGATCTGGGAGTGTTAGGATCTATTTAAGAGATACCTAGAAATCTTTTCTATCCGAATCATGCCATCTTTCAAGTCTTAGCTCAAGTTTCTCTTCAGTAAGTTACTTTCTGACCAGGACAGTCTCTTTTCTAATGCAATTTCCCTTAGTGTATCACACAACTTTGTCCTGGAATGTGTAGTAATTTGTATTTTTCTCTAATTTTTATATATATATCAGTCCAATTTCTCATATGCCCAATTATATTGCAAACTCTTACCTTTTCCCTGTGTCCTCACAATGTTCAAAGAAAGGGCATAGTATTGATTTGAGCTAACCTCAATTGAATGTCCTATAAAACTAGTGCAGGTTCAGAGGCTTTTTTTTTTTTCAAAGAGAAATTGATAACAAATTAAAGCCAATAATAAGACACAAAAGCTTTTATAAGAAAAACTAAATATAATAACAGCCTGGAATATTTTAAACTTATATTTCTGATTTTCATTTCAACAATTTTTTTTTATAACACCAGCACGAGAAGGCTGGTGAAACTTTTGCAGGTTATTAATGTTTTTTAAAAAAACTTTTAAGACAGGGTGTCATTTCCATCACCCAGTCTGGAGTACAGTGGTGTAATTTTGTCTCACTGCAACCTCCACCTCCCAGGCTCAAGGGATCCTCCTGCCTCAGCCTCCCAGGTGTACACCATCATGCCCAGCTAATTTTTGTATTTTTTGTAGATGGGGTTTTGCTATGTTGCCAGGCTGGTCTCAAACTCCTAAACTCAAGTGATCCACCCACCTTGACCTCCCAAAGTGCTCGTATTACAGGCCTGAGCCAGCATGCCTGGCCTAAAATGTTCAAAAGTAGATAATTTAAATATCTTTCCATGTGGTCACTTGGAATTACCTCACTAAAGTTAATGATAACAATCCTACTATACCTCAATACTTCAAGGAAAGGGAGTTAGTAACCAAGACCTGGGCTTCTTTCTATCTGGTTTGCTATGAGCTACACTTGGAATTTTAAACTGAAATTCCCCATTTTAAGATGCTGCTACTGACGGATGCGGTGGCTCATTCCTGTAACCCCAGCTCTTTGGGTCGGCTGAGATGGATAGTTTAAGCCTAGGAGTTGGAGATCAGCCTGGGCAACATAGGGAGATCCTGACTCAATAAAAAATTTAAAAATTAGCAGGTGTGGTGGTGCATGCCTGTAGTCCCAGCTACTCAGAAGACTGAGGTGGGAGGATTGTTTGAGCCTGGGAGATGGAAGCTGCAGTGAGCTATGGTCGAACCACTGCACTCCAGCTTGGATGATAGAGCAAGACCTTGTCTCAAAAAAAAAGAGATGCTGCTACCTCCACATGAATCTCAAAGAAGTAGTGAATATTTAGCAGACAGTGTTTCCTGTTTTAGTTATCTATTACTAAATAGATATTAGCACTTCATTATAAACAACCTTAAAACGTAATAGCTTCAAATGACAACGTTTCTTTTTTTTTCTTTTAGTACCAGAGTCCATGAAGCATTTTATTTGTGAATATGTATTACATCGCTAAAAAAAAGAATCCCAGGATTTCCCCTCCTGTGTGTTTTCTTCTGGCTTCTTCATGGTCCATGATACCAGCTGAGGTTGTCAGTACAATGAAACCAAACTAGAGGGATAGAAGCAGATTATTCTGACATTTTTCCAGATGTTTGAGTTGCACATCAAATCTGGGACTGATAACTCAACACTTGTTTAGCCTGCCTGTGATCACAACAATTTTTCCCAGTTCTGTGATCATCAATGATCTCAAATTCGCCAATGTAACCATACTTCCCCATCACAATGAGAAACCGGATGATGATGTTGGAGCACAGCTTAGTAAGAACCTGGCGTTTGCCTCTCCTTTCGGCATTGTTGATGCCCTTGAGAGCATCAGGCAGGACATTCATGTGCACCATTGTGGCAGCACGAAAACATAGCGAAAAGACCCAAACGACAACCCTTTCATTGCTCTTGACACTGTGGATCAGGAATTTGGGTAAAGCTCATTTGGATGGCTCATTTCTGTTCCTCGTGGTGTTGGGAAGGCTTGACGAGAGCTAGAGATCCAAGAAGGCCTCACTCATATGTGTTGGACACCTCAATTCTCTTTCTCCGGCCTTTTTTCTGTCCAGGTGGTTTCTGGACAGGGCTATATTTGGGAGTGATCTGTCATACTTCTCTTTACTATCAGATTCCTATCTTCATCCTGCCATCATCACTCAGACTATCATCATCACCCAGTCTTATCAGATATTGCCAAATTATGATGTCAAAACTTACTATGATTTTCCCCACTGTCCATGAAAAAACAAAGAAAGGATTAGATACTTCTCAGGGAGTTCCCTGTTCATCTTTAGGGCCTCACTTTAGTCCTCTCATAAGGTACTTTTTTTTCTTCAAACTTCCTCAGTGCAAATATCCACCCTCAATCAACACGGGTTGGTGTTACTCCAATTCACTCCCCTTTCTTTTTTTTTTTTTTCTTTTTTTCTTTTTTTTTTTTTGAGATAGAGAGTCTCGCTCTGTTGCCCAGGCTGGAGTGCAGTAGCGTGATCTCCTCTCACTGCAACCTCCGACTCCCAGGTTCACACCATTCTCCTGCCTCAGCCTCCTGAGTACTGGGACTACAGGCACCTGTCACCATGCTTGGCTAATTTTTATATTTTTAGTAGAGACGGGGTTTCACTGTGTTAGCCAGTATGGTCTCCACCTCCTGACCTCGTGATCCGCCCGCCCCGGCCTCCCAAAGTGCTGGGATTACAGGCGTGAACTACCGCGCCCGGCCTTCACTCGCCTCTTTCTTTTTTTGAGATGGAGTCTTGCTCTGTCGCCCAGGCTGGAGTGCAATGGCGCGATCTCGGCTCACTGCAAGCTCCGCCTCCCGGGTTCACGCTATTCTCCTGCCGCAGCTTCCAGAGTAGCTGGGACCACAGGCGCGGGCCACCACGCCCAGCTAATTTTTTTTTTTTTTTTTTTTTTTTTGGTAGAGACGGGGTTTCACCGTGTTAGCCAGGATGGTCTCCATCTCCTGACCTCGTGATCCCTCCGCCTTGGCCTCCCAAAGTGCTGGGATTGCGGGCGTGAGCCACCGCGCCCAGCCACTCCCCTCTTTCTATAATGCAAATCTTAGGATGCAAAAGCAAGCAAAGTCTAAGTTAATCTATCTAGAATAGCACCGTGGAGTCACAGCCATGTTCAGGCCTCTCCACAGAACAGACTAGCCTGGATTTCGGAACCTATGTCTTTCCCTGCCATAGCAAGTACTCCATATGCAACTTGGAAGCAGCCACTATGGATCTTGGCTTCTTTCTTGCTTTCTCCTCAATAGTTACTGCCACTGATTTAGTGCTAAAGAAATAGGAACATCACTTAAAACCATCTCTACGGGCCGGGCGCGTATGGCTAACATGGTGAAACCCTGTCTCTACTAAAAAAAATACCAAAAAAACTAGCCGGGCGCGGTGGCAGGCACCTGTAGTCCCAGCTACTCGGGAGGCTGAGGCAGGAGAATGGCGTAAACGCGGGAGGTCGAGCTTGCAGTGAGCTGAGGTCCGGCCACTGCACTCCAGCCTGGGCGACAGAGCGAGACTCCATCTCAAAAAAAAAAAAAAAAAATCTCTACGCATAAATCCACTTAGAATAATTTTTCCCCCTAGAGGATATATTATTGAAGTACAGGGCTTTATTGTTTATTCTACTGCAGACACCACAGGACACCATGTTCTTCAGGTTAGAATTGAGTACTTGAGAAACTATATGAATAATTGCTTGTTGAACTGTACATGTGAATTATCTCTATTTTCCAGCTAACGATTGAGCCTAAAATTATTAGTATTTTTGTAATTTTGAACCATGTGCATTTGAAGTTGGATTAGTGACAAAGTCTTATTCATTTTTCAAGTGTTAGTTCTGAGGGCTTCTCCCCAGCGTTGCTGCTAGATAATACCGCACCTTTGCGCTAACAAGTAAAAAGCTGATCCTCCGGGTTGATGTTGTCTCATGCCAGGGCTCTAGGCAGAATGGGCTGGAGTTCAGTCCCCAGCCATCTTCTTAGCAGGGCATTCTAGATGTTTAATCTTTTATGTTGACGTGTTGATATCACTTCCATTAGCCATTTGTTAGAATTACTAAATTAAATGTACATAATTCAAGGATCTAAAAAGACCAGAAGTTCAGTCAGAATCATTTTTCTGAGATATTTCTGCATTCCTCTGAAGAAGATAATTTGTTCAAACTTAACAAAAACAGGTGTTAAAATTGAGTAGGTTTTGAGAATACTCAGACTTTTTTTAGTCTCAAGCCCTACATGAAATACATTACAATCCCTTAAATCTTCCAATCTTAGAGCTAGAAGACAAGTTGAGCACCCTCACTTTACCCAGGGGCAATTTTGTGTCCCAGATGACAAAGCTCTTAGATCTACTCATTTGCTTACGGCTCCACCAGTACTTCTAGGTCAGGTCCTCTTTCACCTGAAGGATTAGCCATACTTCTGGAACCATTTTCCAGGTTCCTTGAAATAAATATCTTCGCTTTGCTGGAGACCCTAGTTTCCTGTTAAGTAGTGAATGACCCTTCTTTCCTCCCGCCAGCCACAGTCCTATTTCACAGAGGAAGAGAATGACCAGCAAAGTCAACTTCTACTACAGAGAAGTAGCAACTGATAAAAGGCCAAATCTTACAACGTGAAGAAAAAGACCCACTATCCTGCAGCCAACTCGTATCAAAAGTTAATCTATTTAGTCCTCTCTGCCGGGGCTAGTCTACAGTTTTTCTTTTTGTCTCCCTCTTACCACTCACTGCTTGCCCAATCACCAGGTGGTTGTCGTTGTCCTTCCCGGCTAGTTGCCAATAAAGTTGTTACAAAGTGACCTTGAGTATCTCCCTTGGTGCACCCGAAACCCCGCCTTCTTCATCCGGGTGCTGCGGCGCGAATAAGAGCTGGACCGCGCTTGCGCGCTCAGTCCCATTACTTCGACCTCTGCCGCCACCGCTGCCGCAGCCGCCTCTCGGGAAGGTAAGTGGAGGGCACAGGGAGCCCGGCCTGGTCGGGGCGGAGCGGCGCCCAATAGGGACCCACTCATTGTGCCGGCGCCTCACTGGGCACGGGGCCCAAACTGACGGCGTGCACGGGAGCCTGCGGGGCCTGGGTGGGAAGGACAGGCCCCTGGAGGGCACTTGACCTTAAGCCTCTTTGCCTCCGCAGAGAGGAAGAGGGAGAGGAGCCCACGTCACCTGTCACCCAGTATCTCCAGCCGCGCGGTCCCGAAGAGTGTAAGATGTTCGCCTGCGCCAAGCTCGCCTGCACGCCCGCTCTGGTGCGTAGCCCAGGCAGGGCCGGGGGGAATGAGGGCTGGGCCGCTTGTCCTGGAGCGTCCACGTTGTTGAATGGGGCAACCCTCGGGCGGGGCACACCGCCCTCCGGGAACGACTGTGTCCTCACCCATTAACCTATTGCCGTTTTCTTCCTTTCTTCCTAATCTTAGGGCATCTCAGCTTTCTCCTCGCCACTAGGGCGAGGCAGAGCAGCCGAGGCCTAGCTGTCAGGCCTCACTCGGTGTAGGTCAAACTCTCCTGTCCTTAGACCCGAGCGGCCCTTTCCCCCACCTCCTCTCAGCTTCTCTGTTGGATTGGGGTCGACCGCGAAGCCTGGAGTACTGCAGAGGATGTAGGGGGCCGCTGAGGCCTAGTTCACCTCAGCAGCGCTTTCCAGTGCCTGTCTGTAGGTCAAACTCGTTGCTGCAGAGGGAGGGACTTTGCCTTTCCGTGTGGGGGCGGAAGAAGGTGGTGGGGGAACGAGCCCAGAGTCTTTCTTCCTGCCTCTGGAGTATTATTTTCATAACAATTTTGCAGGCTTTAAGTGAGTCTAAATCTGGAGGATTTGTCTTAGAGAATCAGATCTTGGTTCTAAAGGGTTTTTCTGTGACCTTAGTTTAGTAGACACTCAAGGGCAGAGAAGTTGGACTGGAATATGTCCTTATGGTCAGATATTTCCCAGATTATTCTTAAACTGATGTAGAATTGCTTAAGTTCCTTTTTTAGACACCTTTTTTTAATGATTAATGGTCATATAGAAATATCTTTGAAATGGTCAGCTTATATTAACTGCTGGGCTATTTTGAGTGATGAATGTTTACAGTGACACTACTAATATACTTGTTGGTCCACTTAAAATTGCCAAGGAATGTGTGGTATTTATTGCTTTTTTCTGACTTGACTTATGGCGCTACAATAATGGAAATGTCAAAAGCATTTCTTACTCTCTTTGTAATTAATTGTTATTAGAAATTTTATTTAAGGTAGCAAGCTTTACAATTTCATTAGCATGAAACGTTATTAAAATTGCTTCATGTATTAAAAATGACCAAACAGTGAAGAGTCAATTCAGAAGTCTCTGATTCATTTTACTGCTTGCTTTTTTAGAATTCATGGTACCAGAAAAGTCATTGAAATCTTACCTGTATTCTTTCTTAATACTGGATTTTTTTTTTTTTTTTTTTTTTTTTTTTTTTTTTTTTTTATCATTAATAGATCCGAGCTGGATCCAGAGTTGCATACAGACCAATTTCTGCATCAGTGTTATCTCGACCAGAGGCTAGGACTGGAGAGGTAATAGTAGCAATAATTGAAATTAGGTAACACTACCAAGTAAGGGTAGGGTTTTGATTAGAGTGAAGGAAAAAAACTTTATTAATAAGAGTTTGAGGGCAATTCTTTTCCACCCTTTTATCCAAAAAACTAGATGAGCCAAGTAGAGAAATTTCTCTATCCAAAACTTGACCAAGAAATACTGTGGTACTTATATTCAAGTCTATCGATTTAAGTTGCCTATATTTAAAATTATAATAGCTACAGTTATTGAAAAATCTGCTCTATTGGGCTGGATGCGATGGCTCACACCTGTGTTCCTAGCACTGTGGGAGGCCAAGGCGGGAGGATTGCTTGACCCCAGGAGTTCGAGCCTATAGTGAGCTATGATCACACCACACTGTACTGCACTCCAGCCTGGGTGACAAACCAGGTGAGACCCTCTCTTTAAAAAAAACAAAACAAAAAACCCTACTCTAAAAGCATATTTATATATGTTGTTTCTTAATTTTCAACACGCTTTTAAGATATAGACATTGTTATCCCTATTCTGCAAGAGTGAGATTATTCTAAGCTCTTGATTTGCCTCTTTACACTCAGCTACAAAGTAAAAAAGTAGTTATCATTTTGACAGTATGGTACTTAATTAAAATAGCTACCTGTGATTACTGATAGACCTTTACCTTTATTTTCTGTTTTCTAGGGCTCTACGGTATTTAATGGGGCCCAGAATGGTGTGTCTCAGCTAATCCAAAGGGAGTTTCAGACCAGTGCAATCAGCAGAGACATTGATACTGCTGCCAAATTTATTGGTGCAGGTGCTGCAACAGTAGGAGTGGCTGGTTCTGGTGCTGGTATTGGAACAGTCTTTGGCAGCCTTATCATTGGTTATGCCAGGTAATCATTTCTATCCCTAAATAAGTAAGTTTAAGAGCATGCTTGCAATAGTTGGACACTTAGCTACTGAAATAATAGCTACTTTGCATTAAGTGCTTACTCTGTGTCTTGCATTACATTTAAACGGCTTTGTATGCATTATCTCACTTAATTCTCATAACAGCATTTGGGGTATTATGAGAATAACACCTATGAAGGTCTAGAGACACAGGTCACATTACTTGCCCAGGTCATAGCTAGTAAATGTCAGAAAATGAATTTTAACTACATCTGACTTAAGAGTCTGCATTCCGAATTGTTAAACTATTTGGGGAATAAAGTTATTAGAGCACATTCCTTAAAAGAATCAATTTATTTTATTTAAGACCTAAACTGTCAGATCTTAAAAGGTATAGACCATATTTTCAGAGGGATAAGAATGTCAGAACCCATCAAAATGAATGAAAAGTAACCATTTATGTTGAGAGACAGCCCCCTACCTTTACACCATATCAGAATTGAGGAGACTAGTATAAGAGAGATCTAGGCAAATACTCTTCCAGCAGACTTTTCAGTTTACAGAAATCCCCACACTAGTAATCTGATTCTTTAACGTTTACCAAACATGTCGAAACTAATATTTCAAAGTAACAGTCATATGTGGTCTCTTTTAGAAACCCTTCGCTGAAGCAGCAGCTGTTCTCATATGCTATCCTGGGATTTGCCTTGTCTGAAGCTATGGGTCTCTTTTGTTTGATGGTTGCTTTCTTGATTTTGTTTGCCATGTAACAAATTACTGCTTGACATGTTGGCATTCTTATTAATTACGGATGTAATTCTGTGTATCTTACTGTGACTCCGAAAACTGTAGTATTGGTGTCATGGAAATGTACGTTATTTCCAAAGTCATTTCATTAAAGATGAAAACTTTAATTTCTTCTGTGATTTGTACTTACACTAAGGTTAGATTATCACAAAGAAGAATGTGCATTCAGACAGATGCTGTCCAATTCAGAGGAAGCTACAGCTGAAAATATCCCAATGTGATTTTTATCGGAATTCTTTTATATAGTGTTCTGCATATTGGAATTCATAGGGCTTTTGTTTATTCATATAAAGGATAAATATTCGGGTGTTTTGAGCTTCTATAAAATATGATTAATTAAAGATAGTTAATACTCAAGATGGTCTTGTGTTTTTAAGGTCTAACATCAGTTAGAATACTTCAAATCAGAATCACCTTCCAGGCGGTTGGTTCTAAAAATAAATCACGTCAGCTTTTTAGGAAATGAAGCCTTAAGCTGGGAGGTAATGTGATTTTTGTTTTTCAGTAAGTCTCACATTAAGCAATTGTGTGCTTATAATGAATCTTCCATGTCTTTTCAGAACAGGTTCAGTCCAACTAGCAGCTAGTTTCTTACTTGAACAAGACTATTAAAAACCAAATATAAAAAAGTAGACTGAATTGGTTAGATTTTTATAGCCAAAAGTTGCCGTAAGGCAGCGTTTATCACTGTTGCTAACATGTTTATAGTGGGAGTCTTGGGGATGATAGCTGGTTCAAGAGTATTTTGCTGCTAATACTTTATGTTCCTTCTTGGTCAAACTTTTCCCATTCAAAGGAAGAAGGTGGTGCTACTATAGACAGTTTTTCCCCTAGCAAATGTATTGTACCATAATATCTATCATCCAAGTTTCAGGGTTTTTTGAAAGTTGATAATTAGGAAAGCGACATTTTACTTTTTTTAGTGCCCTTTGCCTGTTTGATTTCCATTGAGAATGAGCAGTCAGTTACCAAAGTTCCTCAAGTGTGGGAAGACTGCCTCCATCAGAATCAGTGCTCGTTGAAAAAATAAAAATCCCTAGGTTCCAGACCTACTGAATTGGACTCTTTGGACACGAGATTCAGCAATCTGCATCTTTAAAAAGACTTCCCAGGTGATTTTGTGCATACTGTTTGAGAATCACTAAGTTATACATACGCTACCTTCTATAAAGTAAAATGAGGCCCAAAAAAGCTAAAAAGGTAGAGCTGCTGCCATGTTTTTAGTTGATTCATCATCTAGTCTATATCACCCAAAAGAATTAGAAATAGGCATTCAAACAAAAACCTGTATACAAATATTCATAGAAGCACTACTTACAAAAGCCAAAAGGTAGAAACAACCAAATGTCTATCAGCTGATGAATGGATAAGTAAAATACATCCATATAATGGAATATTCCGCCATGAAAATAAATGAGGCACTGATACATACTGAATAAATATAAGTGAACCCTAAAAACATGCTAAGTGGAAGAAGCCAGCCACATGATTCCATTTATACCCCAAACAGGCAAATCCATAGTGACAAAGCCAATTAGTAGTTATCAGGAACTAGGGAGACAGGTGAAGAGGGAGTGACCACTTAATGCGCATGGGGATTCCTTTTAGGATTATGAAAATTGGATGAATTACGGCTGATCTGATGGCAGTGGGTTATCAGAACTTATTAACATGAGTGTCATTAAAGTTGGTATATAGCCCCTCACTGCTAAATCTGGCTTAAAAATTTTTTTAATTTTGATGAATTAGTGGTGATGGTTGCACAACATTGTAAATATACTATAATAAATGTCACTGAATTGTACACTTTAAGGTGGTTAAAATGGCAAATTTTCCATGTCTTACTGAAACTAAGTACTGTACTATGTAATACAAAGTACATAGTATAAAATTTTAAAAGTGATAGGAAAATGCTGAGATTAATAGTCATCTATTCCAAGTGTATTTTAAATAAAAACAGTCTTGGTAAAGACCTGTTCTTGGTGCTGGTTTTGGTGGTTGAAAAGGCTTGAAACATTCATTCAGAAACAGGTTTCTTGTAAGAGATGTCCCAGCTGAGGGAATCTCCCAGAATGAAAATGGACTGAGCTGTGGCTGCATAGTCTTAAGGCTACTGAGAAAACAATAACAACAAAAAACCACACACAATGACTCAAACTTTATAGAGGGGAAAGGACATAGTGCATCAGAAGTTTTAACGTCGTTGAGTATACATCCTTTTATTTAATTTTTATTTCTAGTAACAAAGTTATGACATTGAAAGTACATCACTGGAATGCATCTACTCCTAGCAGAAATGTTTATTGTGCACCATTTTTATAGGAAGTACTGCCTCAGCTTACGAGCTTTGCAAACAAATATTAACGCTAAATGCTTTTTACTGACTTGTTTCTGAACAGAAGCTGATAAAGATACTATTTTTCTGTCAAACATGAAATGGATTTTCTATGTTGATAAGATGATGTTGGTAAAATGGTGAATTAAATAAGTGGCAGTTAAGTGTTCAGATGTTCAGAGGGAGTAGAAATAATTTTATAGTTAAAGAATCACATGAAAAAGTACTATTTGTAATTTAAGACAAACCTTAACCATGTCACAAGGACAGACCAGAAGAAGAGGGCATCTTGGCTAGTGCAAAGCACGAGAAAAAGTAAATGAGCACAGCATTGGTACGTGAGAAACAAGGAGTTCCCTGAGTATGAAACAAATGGTGTGAGATAAGGCTGTAAAGGAAGACTGGGGCCATTTTATGTAAACAGGCAGGTATAAGAGTGTGAGTTGTATTCATGTGCTACTGTCAGTCATTCAAAGTTTAGAGGTGTATTTTAGAAAGGTTGATAGGAGACTAGTGTGTGGGATGGACCGGAGCCAGCAATGAACAGCAGTCATACTATAGTAGCTTTGCTGAGATGTAATGAAGGCCTAGTCTAGGATGGTGGCAGTGAAGACAGTTGACCCCTGAACAACATGGGTTTGAACTGTGCAGGTCCACTGATACGTAAGACTTTTTTCAATATCTTGGAAAATTGTTTGAGGTTTGAAACAAATTGAAAAAACTCAGGCAAACCATGTAGCCTAGAAATAATCGAGAAAATTAACAAAATGATATGAATGCATAAAATATGTAGATACTGGTCTACTCCATTAACTGCCATAAAATATATATAAATCTATTACAAAAATTTAAATTTATCAAAACATGCACATAGCCTGTACATTGTACCATTTACAGTTGAGAGAAATGTAAATGTAGAGATGGAGTAAACCATAACTGCATAAAATTAACTGAAGAACATACTGTACTACTGTAATAATTCAGCAGCCACCTCCTGTTATTGTAGTGAGCTTAAGTGTTATGAGTATCCACTTAAAATGCTGTGATGCTCATCATCTCCGTGGGGCAGTTCATCTCCAATAAATTGTGTATCACAAAAAAAAAGGTGATCTTTCGCACTTTTTGCCTTTTTTTTTTTTTTTTTTTTTTTTTGAGATGAAGTCTCGCTCTTGTCTCCCAGGCTGGAATGCAATGGCAGCTCACTGCCAACCTCCGCCTCCCGAATTCAAGCAATTCTTCTGCCTCAGCCTCCCGAGTAGGTGGGATTACAGGCACCTGCCACTACACCCAGCTAATTTTTGTATTTTTAGTAGAGATGGGGTTTCACCATGTTGGTCAGGCTGGTCTCGAACTCCTTACCTCAGGTGATCTGCCTGCCTCAGCCTCCCAAAGTGCTGGGATTACAGGCGTGAGCCACCGCACTCGGCCAGTTCTTGCATATTTTTCACTGGGTTAGTGCAATATTATAAACCTTGAATAACACCATGGAACCTATACAGAGTACTACTAGTGATGCTAGAAGCAGTCCCACGACACGAAGTCATGACATTGCAAGACGTTGAATGGCTTGATATGCACAATAGATAGAAGAGGTCCGCAGCTGCAATTGTCACCATTTCAGACAATTCGTCTTGTAAACAGATGGTGTAAACTTGTAAACTTAATGATATCGATAATAGTACTAGAAATGTATTTTCTCTTACGATTTTCTTAACATTTTCTTTTCTCCACCTTTATTGTAAGAATACAGTATGTAATGTATATAAAGTACAAAATTTGTTTATCAACTGTAATCTGTAAGGCTTCTGGTCAACAGTAGGCTGTTAGTAAAGTTTGGAGGAACTCAAAAGCTATATGCAAATTTTTTATTGCATGGGAGACTGGTGGGGCGAATCAATGCCCCGAACCCCCAGCCTTATTCAAGGATCAACTATATTTTAAAAACAATGCAAAGGTAGTATCAGTAGGATTTAATGCCTAGATCTCAGGAACCAGTTAGGAGATGAGAGGGTGTGTGCATCTAGTAAGTGCTAGCTATACTGTTATTTAACCCTTATAACAACCTGTAAACTTGGGAATAATTTCCAAGATGCAAAGGAAAATAGGCTCAGAGGTTAAACAGTTCCCAAAATCACACAGCCATTAAGTGGCAAAGTCAGGATCCAAATTCAGATCTTCCTTAAAGCCCATGTTCTGTTTTTTGTTTTTGTTTTTTTTGTTTTTGTTTTTGTTTTTTTATGTGACTGTTAGTGACGACAAGGAAAAAGCTGATTTGGGGAAATGATGAACTTTGTTTTTTATATACTTTTAAATACAAGAGGTATAATTTTACAGATCTGGGCTTGAAAAGAAAAGAAAGGTATATACAGCACAGACTAGATGTGCATAAAAGAAATGCAGAGCAGCAGTAGGGACCCAGCTCCAGACAGGTAACAAATTGGTAGTGAACATCATTCACCTAGTTTTGTGACTCTCCAGCAATTTTGGGAAGCTTGTTAATACAAACTGATGTAAAGAGCAGTGAGGGTTATCAGGGTTGTGCACTGGGAAGAAGAGATGATGGAAGGTCAAAGTGGCTCTAGGCAGACAGCAAACAAGCACACTGTTCAACAAGATGACCTATGCATTTCAGACCGAGTAAGGAACAAGGGAAAACACAATAAAGGTGATAAATTGAAATAACACAGAGGGGTCATTTATGGGAAGCCATGAAAGGTAGGAGTGGTACTGTTTTTATTAACAACAATATTGTATAAAGAGCAGAATAGCCGGGCGCGGTGGCCTGTAATCCCAGCACTTTGGGAGGCCGAGGCTGGCGGATCACAAGGTCAGGAGATCGAGACCATTCTGGCTAACACGGTGAAACCCCGTCTCTACTAAAAATACAAAAAACTAGCCGGGCGTGGTGGCAGCGCCTGTAGTCCCAGCTACTCGGGAGGCTGAGGCAGGAGAATGGCGTGAACCCGGGAGGCGGAGCTTGCAGTGAGCTGAGATCGCGCCACTGCACTCCAGCCTGGGCGAC